CCCAGAGGGTTAATAAAACATCATTTATTTTTTCCTTAAAAACCCTTCCGGTCTGTAACCAGTGATACTGCAGTTTACTACACTGTAATAATAATAATAATAATTCATTACATTTATATAGCGCTTTTCTAGGCACTCAAAGCGCTTTACATAGAGGGGGGGATCTCCTCAACCACCACCAATGTGCAGCATCCACTTGGATGATGCGACGGCAGCCATATTGCGCCAGAACGCTCACCACACACTAGTAGTCAAAGACGTCCTCAGACCTGTGTGTGCATCTCGACCCTCGGCCTCTACAGTGGATGGCAGTGCACGTCAGGCTGCTTGAATGAGCTCGTAACCCATTCTTCTCTGAACTCATCACCATTCATTGGTTTACAGAGCTTATGCAGAACACAACTATCACCAGGGATTTGACCTTGTGTGTATTACAGTCATTTTGTTTTAGCAAACACCTCCATCTGCCCTTTAGTCTGCCGAAGGCATCCTCACCCACCAGCCTGGCTCTACTTGTTTTCTAGATGTACACACGTTGTTGGAGTGTCAGTCGTCCATTGTCAGTGACAGGTTTCATCAGCAGCTCTTTAAAGGATAGGCTGCTTCACCAAGCACACAGTACCTCACATCATGTCCACAAATGATGTTTTATTAACAAAGTTCAGGAGGAGCACGTTCAGCTCATCCTCTCCAATTTTAAATATTAATGTTCCATTACATTTTGTGATGTAACTCGATTGTTTTCTGATAATTTTGCAGGTGTTGCACCTGTGGAATGTGTCTTTTATGTTAACTGATGGCTGTGCACTGTGACACTTGGGACACAGTTTTTTAATGGTTATTGTGCTGCCTTCTACTGGTTCTGTCAGTGTGTTTGTTTCAATTTCTAAATCGTCAGTGTCTGTGTTGGGAAAAGTGATTGATGTGCTGCTTCGCGTGATGGAGGTGTTGCGGGAGGTTGTTAGGGTGATTTTCCCATTGTAGGACCTTGTTGACAAATTAGTAAAAACATATGTTTTATCCAAGTCTACTCTGTCTATTTGACTGTCCCACAAGGACAGTTGAATTGTCCCTGTCTGGTCTCAATTTGGCAGGACTTGACCTCGCTTTGGGAGTCCCGAACGTCTACCATGCTGCTTGCCTTGTTCATTCTGGAAACTGTTGCCATGAGCTTCAAAACCTGTAAAGAAGAATAAATGGTTAATAATGTTTTATTATTTTATAGCAAAGCTCATGTTAACTTTAAAAAAAAAATTGTTTTAACCCTCTGGGGACCAGAAACGCGCCCGCGTTTTTTTTTTAGCAATGCAAAATAAACTCAAACTGCTCTGTTAATTTTGATCTTTCATGTTCGTGTTATACATCAATCGATCCTGTTCAGTTTCTATTTTTTTTCTGTATACTCACAATAAAAATAAAGTGTTTTGCTTTTTGCCAAATAAAGAAAAATTAACATGATGCGAGTTCTTCACTCTCTCTGTCAGCGAACTCCAATTTGAAACGCGTTCGGAAATGATCTGTAACTCCACGAAAATTCAGTCAAACAGGCAAACATACCCACGGGCATAAAGCTAGAGATCGCATCTTTTAAATGAAGTAATTTATATTAAAAACAAATATTCTCAGCTTCTGTAATCTGTATGAAAATAGAGCGATTCCAGTCGAGCTCATTACGAGCTCATTCACTTTAATTCGTTCACGCCTACTCCCGGAGCGCGCTATTCACAAGATAATGTGTTTAGCCATCTATGGAAAACAGGTAAACGCCCCCAAGCAAATGCATTAAAGGCTTCAAGTTTCATCATTCAGTTCACCTGCGCGTTAGGACGATGGCACGATACACCGGTGTAGAAGCTCTTCAGCTCGTCCTGGATACTAGCGACGAAGAATCCACATTTTCATCAGAAGAAGAGCGCGACTCTGATGACGACCGTTTGATCGAGCCGTGGATAGAATTTCGTATGAGTAAGTATTTAGTCTTACTTCCATTAGTTGACAAGCTATTCAATATAAACATGTAGCTTACATATTATACTGGGTGGACTATTTTCCACTTGCCATCCAGCGTATTGACATTTGATATATTCAACACGATCTAATGAAAGTGCATATCTATACCATGAATTTAATATCTCGTGTTAAAGAGAAAAATGTTTTTTTTTTTTTTGTGCATATGCTACGCACTGTAAACCCCAGTTAGGAAATTTGTATGTGTAAATGATATGTTTAGATCATTGTGTATGAAAGCTAGAATGTAGAAGTTATTTTAGAAAATAGGCCTACTAGATGTTTAGATTATATTTTGACTAGTTTAAATGCTGCCTCATTATTATCATTGACGATGCATGCTCGCAAATATCAGTTGTAAATGTGCTGAAATGTGTAAATATACCCAGTTAATGAATTGCGCAAATGTGTTTTTTTTGCGGTGTGCCTCTCCGGCAATGGCCCATTGACACGCATATTTATTGCACTCGCCTAAAATTATTTACATCAGTTATTCATTATAGACTAATGCTGCTATGGTTATATTTATGTAATAATATTCCTCAACTTAAAAAAAAAAAAAAAAGGAATGTAGCTTCATCACTACCTCCGCCTGCAACTCGGAGTGCGCTTAGCAACACAGTCAGAAATCAGAAAGAAAGTACATATTTACCTACAATTTTACAGATGTTAGTTCAATTTTGTTTATACTTAGTGTTAATACAATATGAGCCTGTATGACTTCACAATTGCTTTGTTTATAGCCGACTGATTATTTATTTATTTTACTCACATTTGATTTGCTTAAAGTCCCCGTGAACCGGAAGTTGCAAACGACTTTTCTCCAGTGTTGTGACGTATTTCCGAGAGAAACGGAATACTAAATGAGGCAAAATGGTGGGCGTGGCTTTTTCCCCAACTAGCACCTGATTGGATCTAGAAAAGTAGGTGTTTTGATTCAGCCTGTCTACTGTCAGTTGGAGGGGCGTGATTACGGATGTTAAGAAGACGCCCAAACCGTGAAACCTACGTCATCAGGCAAGGTCCTCCAACGCAGAGGGGAGGGGAAATTTCAGATTTTGATTAAAGATTACGAAGCCAAAAAAATTTTTTGTGTGGATTGACTTGCATGGATGAATTGTTCACCACAAAACGGTCAATTTAGGCAAACAAAGTAAGTATGGTCAATTTTGAATTCATGGGGACTTTAAAGCAAATTTAGAACATTTAGTTTCTCCACATAGAGGAATTACAATAAAACAGATTGAAAAACCTTTGAATCTCCTCTCATTCTTGGTTCAGGCTGCCTCACTTGATGGGCCATTAGCCATTGGGAGAGTGTCTGTCACACCCCTGGTCTGAATCTCATTAATATTGATAGGCCATTACCACCCCCTCGCATAAACCTCTTCTGACAAAAAAACTGTCATACAAAGTATGAATTCATGTTTTGCTTTATGTGAACAATTAGGCAGGATGATTTTCACAACATTTTGAAGCCAGAACTCGAAGCGACAACATCCATTAGTCAAAAGTCTTGTGGACACATATTTAGTATGTGTTTTGTGGTCTTATTTCAGCAACTTTCATTTTTATTTTTTTCAATAACCACACATAAACATTATTCTCTTAAAAATACAAACATGTACATACATGTTGCTCACATATCATGGTAGCCCCGTTTGTGCTATATAGAGTGAATTTACACCTTTGCCATTAACATGTTTATAAATAACTGAAAATAGCACAAATGTCAGTGCATGTCAAAACATCCCAACGGCCCCAAAAACACTCTGGTCCCCAGAGGGTTAATCTAGTCTCATACATGACCTGATTATGAGAACTGATGAACTTCATGCATGTGGACAAAGTGGGAAAAATAAACATCATGAAAATATTTCCCAGATATCAACATGTCAACATTGATTCCAAAGACCATAATGGACTTTTTTTCTGATTTATTCTTATTTATTTTTTATTTATAAAAAAACAAGCAAAAAACATAATGATAAACATAACTATATAAAACCAAACTATATAAAACCATAACTATAATAACTAACCAAACGTTAGATTATCCTCAGCTCTTCTCAACACTCACTCATTCAGATTTGACTAAATGCTTTCTGATATAACACTGTTTAAAGAAATATATGTGATGAGCTGTGACCTCTGAGGTGACCTTTGACCTCTTTGATTATGGATGATGTTGACATTAGATTAAACAACAAGCATCTGAAAAGTTCATAATAATTGATTAGTCTCATGTATGACCTGATTATAAGAACTAATGAACTTCATGCATGTGGAAAATGTGGGAAAAATAGACATCATGAAAATATTTCCCAGAGAGCAACATGTCAACATTGATTCCAAAGACCATAATGGAATTTTTTTTCTGGTTTACTCTAAATAGTACAATTGATTTATTTAGTTCTTGACTTCTCATTGTTAACATGCTTTTAAAGGTGTAGGACATAACTGTATTCATAAAGAAGTAATTATTGAGTTTGACAAATAAGTTTAAAATGATTCTCCAGTCATTTCAGTGGCCTAGAAACATCTTCTTTGGTCTCTCGTTATGGTGTCCATCATGTTGAGATCACATGACCAGCTGAAACTGATCACATGACCAGCTGAATTCTGCTCATTTTATCTTGGTTGCATATCATCAGAAATATCCACTTGATATAAATGAAACTGCATGACAGTGAATAGATCATTTCTACAGCGCCTCTGAAAATGCTTCGTCCACACTGAGAGATGTCAATATAAAGTCAAACCCTAGTGTCCTATCAGCCAAACATCAAATATTTCACAATTAATCAATATGTACAATTAATGACTAAATGGAAGAAAGTAAAATCTTCTATGTAGAGTGTATATTAGTTTGTTCCCAGCACAAGCTGTTGTAAATCCTGCCCACTTCTTTGCATTGTCAGCACATGCTTCAGTGCTCTGAGAGTGTTTATAGTGCTGTGAGTTTAACACTTCATGACTGAGAGCAGAACACAACACACTCTTCATCATCACACAAGACTAAACTACAACTATGAACAACATCAACATCTTCATCTGGACCATTGCACTGTTTGCTCAAGGTTTGTGAAATACATGTTTTAATAATGATTTTTTTTTTTTAAATGTGAAATATATATATATATATATATATATATATATATATATATATATGTTTATCATATACTGTATATCATCATATATATAATTTTTATTTTTGTTTGTGTTTTCTTTCAGAGTGTAGAGGACAGATCACTGTAACTCAGAGTCCATCAATACCAGCAGTTCAACCAGGAGAAGAAGTCAGAATAAACTGTAAAACCAGCAGTGATGTGTATTATTATAGTTCTTATGGTCATCGTTTAGCCTGGTACTCACAGAAACCTGGAGAAGCTCCTAAACTCCTCATATATAGAGCAACAAACCGTTATACTGGAACTCCATCTAGATTCAGTGGCAGTGGATCTGGCAGTGATTTTACTCTGACCATCAGTGGAGTCCAGACTGAAGATACAGGAGATTATTACTGTCAGAGTTATCATGCTATCAGTGGTAAAGATGTGTTCACACAGTGATAAAGAGTCGTACAAAAACCTCTGTCAGTCAGACGTCACAGTGACTGCACTGATACAGCTGAGAGAAACTGCAGCTGCTGATGGAGGATCACAAACTACACAATATCAATGTTTAGCAAACTTTATAAAGACTTTAAAGGTAAATATAATATAATATCTTTATGCTAAAATACATTAACCCAGTTAATTGTTCATTGACTATTACTGCCATTCATGTGTGTATCTCTCTCAAATGCAGGGCCGACATGCAGATTTTAGACAGATCTTTCATATGAATTACAATTTACAATAATATAGCATGAATATTGATCAACGTTAACATATGCATAAAGTAAATAAATGGTCAAATGAATAACCAACAAATCAAAAATTAAACTACTAATCAACAAAAGGTGCAAAATCTTTTATTACATGATACATTTCAGCACTACAGAGAAACATTGTGAGGTCATTCACATTTATTTGTGCAAAAATGTGAGAAATGGTTCAATAATATATTTGATTGATTTTCTATGACTATAACCAATAAAATATATCTTTAAGTCAGGAAAATAAAACCCAGAGTGCTCATAATATCTATTAAAAACATGACAAGTATAGTGTGTGTTTACAGTCTGGGTCAAACTATTTAGTTCAGACTGAACTGCGAGTGCTAAAAAACTTTGGGCTTTATGCCTCAAAGTTAGTAGCAGTGTAAGTTTGTGGTGTATCCAGCCAACATTTGATGGTTTTCTTTTCCTTTCTCTGAAAACATAATTCGAAAGTTGACAGTATATGCCTGAATGCACTTAACTATGGGTGCCAAATCCCAGAATCCCATTGTAGACCAGGGTGCTGCATGGTATTATTACAAACGGGGCTCAATACACTTAAAATCTACATGTCTGAGTATCTGCAGTTGAAAGAAACTACTGTTTTGAAACAGTTTACTTCAATTCCCATAATCAATTGCCAGGTGTGAATTTTTTATGTTTTTCTACCAATTTGTGTCTACATTACATGTGTTGGTAGAGACGTCACATAGAGAAGCCTATGATCATACAAGCATTCAGCAGCAGAGAAAAAGAATGACTGAATTTAAGCTTTAGGGGTGAGCCATCCCCTTAAGATTTAAACATTAATAAAATCTTTTGCGTACTCAACACAAGTTGTGAACTGTGACTTTAAGATACAGTGCATGCATCTCACCTTCACAAAGGTATTCATAAAATAAACCTATCTTCTGAAGGTAGTCCTGGGCATAGGCGGAGAGTGTGCAGCGAGGGGTTAATATTTCACACTTCATTTCTTTTTTTTTGGTCTCCTTTCCAAGAAGTAAAACTGGCTTGTATCCAATGGCATGGAGTTTCTCAAGCTGCAATGACAACATTAGAAAAACAACATAAAAAAAAACTAAGAATATTAATTATTAAGAAAATATAACTTTACTGATGATATAACTTTTTGTAACAGTAGCTCGGGTTTTGCACCTACGTTGATAAGATTATGTAACCATTGTGCAACTGGACAATGACAATCTAAAGATTTATTAAAAATAAAAGAAGAACCTTAGTGATTACATTAGTGAGTACAGTATGAATGCAGTTCATTTGTTATTTCTCATCCACTCGATGAGAAAGTTGATTATTATATTGCACCTGTAATTCTGTCATAATGCATGCCTCTATTTGTTATGAACTCAAGAATTCCTGAGTATCAATTATATTTGCTGTGTGTTCAAACTTTGCTGGTAGATAATTTAGGTCTGTGATGTGTTACGGTGAAAATGTGATTACTTAAGGGTATTACCACTAAAATAAAAACTACAAATCACAATTACATCTGCCTTCAAAGTTGATCGTTAAATTGTACTTTTAAATTAGTTCTGATGACACAGAGAGGACAAAGTATCATTGAAAAAAATTATTCAACTTCTATATTGGCAAAAAATAATGCCTTTCTGACCCTGCACTGGCATGCTCACTTAATAACAAATGGTACCACTGAATGTACTTCCTAGATGATCTGGACAGATTAATGTCATGTATGAAATTGTACGAACCATGATATTGGCCTCATCCTTGATGGATGCAGTGTTGTGGTTTTTCTTACGACCAACCACCCATTCCTCTCGCTTCTCATCAAACCTCTGAAGCTTCTTCTTGAGGCGTTGCTTCAGAGGCTGCTCCTCTTTACAATGTGAACAGATCTTTTGTGCACAAAATAAAATGCCATGACAAAAGGGGCAGATCTTTTTTGTAGACCCCCCTGGCTTTATAACAAACAGTCAGATACAGACAGACTGACAAAGATGGATAAGACAGACAAGTAGACAAAGACAGACAGAGAGAAAAGAATGAGCAATAGATCAAGACTGTGAGATAGATAAAGATATAGATTGGAGAGATTGACAGAAATAATGATATTGAGAACAGAGAGGATGTGAGATATTGAAAATAATGGAGAGATAGAGGTTGGCTCTTTAAAGTGTCGTTGGGTTTTGAGAATCAGGTGTGATGGGTTCGGACAGGTGATGTGTTTGACAGGATCTGCAGGGAGAACAACAGAAAATGTTAATTATGTAGTGTTATGTTGATATAAGATTTAAAAAGTGTACCCTAATAGTGAGTGATTCCCATTTTCTTATAAATACTTAAGATACATAAATACAGATTCACGTTGTTCCTATTTCCTGTGCGACTGTTAAAAGGCGCTGAAGACTAAAATTTCATCTTTGAATATAATTTCATTAATTAATATTATGTATCTGTATTATTATTCTTTATTTAGTATTCATAATAAGTTGTATTATCTTATGAAGTTTAAAATGCATGAGTAGACTATAGATTGCATGGACACATGTGTTTAAGGAACATATTTTAGACACAAGGAGGGTAGCTGGGAGGATTATGTATTCTGCTTAGAGGTATGTAATGTTCACTTAGCAGAGAGTTCCAATGATGAATATACTTCAAATGTGTACAGTTGGTATGCTCTTTGCAAGAAAATGAATGTTTCAACTGATGCAAATGTACCATTTGTATACCACTAATGCAGGGGTTCTCAAAGTTTTGATAGGTGAGGGCCAATTTAGGAACCCAACATTGAACTGAGGGCCGCCAAAGTGGCGGGGGAGAAAACGAAGAAAAAAAAAACTGAAAAGAAAATCCCATTTGAAATTATTTTAATGACCTGGTTGCATCTCTACAGTTTACATTAGTTGCAATAAACACATTTTAATTCATAACTGAGGCTAAACCTGGCAAAACTTGTGAAAATTTTGGGGGGGGGGGGGGGGGGGAAGAAACTTTTAAAATAAAGCTTACCAAACAAGTCATCATCATCATTCATATCTATCATTGCTTGTCAGTCGCGTTTCCATTATTGCAGATTTGCATATTATTATCTATCTTTTTTAACCCGTAACTGAAAAACGAAAAATGAACGGTTGTTGTTTTTTTAAAACGCAAAGTTGAACAACATTTTAATTTGAACTGGCTTCACCAACTGCTGCGCAAAAAAGTAAATATCGACAGACTTTTTCAGATTTTTGTTTAAATGACTTTCTGCCCCTTTATTAAACATTTTAAATATTCACAAATTAATATGGAAAACATGTCGATTTTACTGGTTTTCTAAGGCCAAATTAGAACCTGGAATTTATATTTTTCCCGCAGTGATGAATGAGAAGAGACATATAGCCTGTACGTGTCTGATCTAGCCTGATTTATAGGTGAGTTATAGGCTAATGATAATAAATGCGTCTGAAAAAACAGAGAGGCATTTTAATTGTTTATTAATAAACTATTGTTTTCTAAGTGTCGGCTAAAAACATATCTCCATCTCCGCTATTAAGCGTGCGCTTTTAGAGAGAAATCCACCTTTCATACGGATTACATAATCAGGTATTTGCTTTCTATTCGAGTTTGTTTGTTTAAAAGTGCACATTTTAAGCTTTAGCCTGCATAGGCTATATTTTGTTTCAGTTCTCGCGCTCCAGTTCACGGAGATCATGAAAGCGCGTAGTAGCCTAGGCTACTGATTGTTTTATTTTATTTTACAAAAGCACGTTTTCTTGTTATGAGTTTACACAAATAAAAGTAGTTGCGAATAATGCATTATTATTTTCTGTATGACCAGAAATGATAGACTAGTTTAAGTTGTTTCCACTGTTGATAGGAAAATGCAAGTGTTCGCGCCCGCGAACATTTTGAAAGGTAATGGAAACGCGGCTATTAATAAGCTTGACATTGTTAAGATTATTATTAAGTCACATTGAATATTGATTACTTGGTCAACACACCCTTTTAAATTGCAATGGGATTTGTGGTGCTGGTTTCGGTTGGCCACGATTCCTATTCCTGTGTAGACAACCACTGTTCCTGGTGGCCTTGGGAGTGAGGTCACGTGCGATCGGTCGGTCGGACCATGTAATTACCGCTTATGCCTATGGATGCCGCTAAACACCACTAAACGGAGATATTCATTTTTTTCAAAGCAATAGTTTTAACATTTTTACAGATGTTATCGCGGGCCGCCAGAAATGTTTCGGCGGGCCGCCATTGGCCCGCGGGCCGCACTTTGAGAACCTATGCACTAATGTATACACTGAGAAATAGTTTCTTAATGTGGAAAGTGGATTGTACCATGTGCATATACATTTCATTTTAAGCATAAGCAATATGTTTTGTTACCTTACAAGGAAGCTGTAAGACTCTCTGTGATGTATAAAAACTCAATCTTACTGTACTACAGCAGAGAAACATGGAGGCATGACTGGGTGAGAGGAAGGAGAAACACGAAACGCATAGACCTGGCATGAATATAACATCTTCTCAGAGTTTCTCTCCTGACATATAAGAATAAAAATCTTTCTTGGCAAGATAACTGGTGTCTGGTCCCGTGAATTAAATAATAACGGGGAAAAGGCTTAATTCCAAGTCTACAATTTGGCGTCACGAACAACAGGATCGCATCTTCAGGCATTTGTCTCAATCATTCAAGGTAAGACTTTTTCTTTTTCTAAAATAATTCTAAGTCTGCCTGATGATTAGACATTGACTGAAAACTGCTTAAAAGAACTGATATTTAAAGTACCAGTTGTGTTGCCAATTAATATATGTCAGACAATTAAATTTGGCTTATTTAAGTTGCTCTGATCAGTAAAACCTCTAAAATATTTGAATGATGCTTGGGTAAAAGTGGATCTTTTTTAGAAAGAAGACCATATAGAATTAGCTATAAGACGGTTAAGCTAGGAAAATTTGCTTGTTTACAACTGCGACGTGGTTGGATTGTGGCGGGACTGTCTAAAACGATGGCAGAATGAACCCTAAAGCATCCAACACACAGAAGATTCGTTCTCAGAAGGAGACGAGGAAAGTGTAACAAGCAGTGATTTATAGCGGTTTAAAGTGGCGGGTCTGTGCTCTGAGTTAGTGCAGTGCAGTATTTAGAAGATACGAAGAAAAC